AAATTATTACCTTTAGTTAGGGTGCAGTCCATAGTAGACATTCGGCGGTGAATACACGTCCATAATGTTGTAATTTAATATGACCGTTGACAAAACTGCCCCATCTCGTCCTTGTCGTAGTAACTGTGCGCCGAACCTTTATTGGTGCTACCCGTATTGCTTAACGGCAAGAGAAATGATTTCTCTTTATCCGTTTTACCTAAAGCATTTTTAAAATAACCCTACAGCCTTTCCGACCCTCCAGAAGGTATCGGGTATTAGACATACCGCAATCAAATAGATAGCTCATGACCAAACATTACTACTAGTGGGTACTGACCTCGTTCCCATAAAAATAACAACCGAAACTGTGTCGTAGACAAACAAATTCCCAAGTTCAGTATATGAGACAAAAACGGTGTGTACGTATTCCTATTTTATATTTAATTTCATGTTCATGTACTCAAGTAGTAAACTGTTGAATTATGAGCGCTGACTGGGTTCAGAATAGGGCAGTGATTACTGTAGTCAGGTTTATCAATTCATGTACATGTGCTGTTCCTTGTTGTAGTATAGCATATACATATACAAGTGGTTACCAAAACGTATTCACTTCATCAATTTACATCTACAGCCTACAGAGGACTCATTCATATGCCAGTCGGCTGAGAAGATAGGTTTCCTCTACGAAGTCCACTTCGGTTATGTTTTAATAATGTCACTGATGTGGTAGTGTCCGGTTCGAGTCTGGCCTTTCCTTTGAGAGGTGATAAAATGAGTGAAAACACTCGTTTATATTACACACGGGTCTATTCAATAATTGCACATAAGACTGTCTAAACCAATGAAACCCGAGGTAAATAAGACATATCGGGGAAAATAGGATGTTTGTATATAGAACGAGCAAAGACAAACTATAAATAAAAAAAGGTAGATAAAAGGATTTGAGACATGGATCTTTCAATGAACAAACTGCGCTCTGACCTTTCTATTGTCCCTTGCCGTTTTCGATATCATTTCGGTTAACACCTTCAATGAAATTGTCTTGGTCTTCGTTTGAAAGATCTTCGAGGGTGCGTCCTTTGGTTTCGGGGATCAAACAGGTTGAGAAAATACCGGTAAGCATGAAAAGAGCGAAAATCTCAAGGATGTGTTTAATGAACTAAGAATAATAAAAACCATCAGTTTGACCCCCAAAAAAAAACCTTTTCATTGAAAAGTAAGCGCTTACCACGTTTGGTCCGCCGCGGTCCTTTAAGCGACTGAAACCGACTTGTGCCACGATCGCACCCAATTTTCCGGTGGCAGCGGAAATACCATGACCTGTAGAACGGTATCGCGTTGGGAACACCTCACCAGGTATAACAAAAGTAGTCGTATTGGGACCAAAGTTCTGGAAGAAGTTCGCAAGACAGTACAAGAAGACAAAGGCAGGTTTGCTATGAGCGACGAGAGCATCATAGCCGAAACCAAGGCAACAGAAAATAATAGTGAGCATACCAAAACCCATCAATTGAATGGGTTTACGACCCCACTAATAATTACAGCTAGTGGTTAGAGACTAACGCTGCTAGGATAAGAGGAGGAGACGTTGCTTACGCTATCAATCAAAAGCATAGTTGCGTAATATCCTGGAATAAGTCCAGCAACAGACAAACTGATCATAAATTTAGGGGCATGAAAAACCAAAGACGATCATTTAGACATACACCATGTTTCCAATACACGTATTCAACAAGTTTTGGTAAATGGCGGCACCACCCTTGAGACTGGCTGCCGGCTTACCGAAACCGATGGTTTGAAGAATGGTACTGTTGTTTAATCCAAGACCATAGAAAGCAATCTATTATCTCATACGTTAAGAAGGAGAGAAATCAATGAAATAATAGCATACATCGAGTGCAAACCATGAGTATGCAGTTCCGAGAAGAATTTTGCCGTTGGACCACTGACCAAAGCTGAAAAGGAATATAAGTTACTTGGGAAACGCGCCGGCAAAAAAAAAACCAAGTCTCTTACTATCTTATGAAGTCACGACGAGTGGCTTTAGGGACTTGAGCACGGTGAACAACAGCGTCAGGGTCGACAACGAATGTTCCCGTAGTCAAGAATGTGTCGACATCTTGGGCGGCCTGTTGAACGTTTCGTTCAATGTCCATGGTGAAACGGGGAGTTTCTGGGATGGTAAGACGGTAATATAAGGCTATGCATCCCGGGATGGCTCCGAGACCAATGAGAAGACGCCATAAGGTATCAACAGTTCCTGGATCGAGGGGATCGTCGTTTTGAATACGGTGCTTGGCGGCGGCAACAACGATAGCCCCAACAATGGCAGCAGCAAATTGACCCCAACCTTGAGCAGCAAAAACTGCCGTCATTATACGACCACGGTATTGTCTTGGAGCAAATTCTCTGTAAGGACGAGAATAAAAAACAGTTTTCGACGATAACAAAAAAAAAAGAGGCATACGAGGAAATGACTGAGGACAGAGGGTAGTCACCTCCGATGCCGATACCCATGATAAAACGCCATACGATCAGAACAGCAATGATGCTAACAGCGTGAGCGTGACCAGCTAGAGTTTGACCGAAAGTGGCGACGATAATAATCATAAGTTCGACACCGTCTGACGAAATAAAGATAAAATCTCTCGATCAATCAAAAGGGTTTTTAGATCAAACTCACACATTCGTTTACGACCAACAACGTCTGCAAGCCATCCGAAAACGAGTTGACCTACCAAGGTACCGACGGGGGATGCAACTTTGATACCGAGGTCTTGATTCGCGGTTAAACCCGAACCAGTGGCACTACCATCTACACATAAGCTCAGCTCCCTTCGCATTAAATAAAACAATATAAATATAAATGTCTGAACTTACGACCAAGAGGACCATAAACATTTCCGAGCATAGTGCTAGCAATGTTGATAGCAAACAGATCTACGCGAACATGAGAATTAATTACTCTTTACCGACTTCGTTATCAATGTTACTTACCGTAAGCGTCGGTAAAGAAACCAACACCTGCGATGAGACAAACTTTGACGTGGAAACGACTACAAAATGTAATTAAAATCCTGTATTATTTTTTCCCAGAAAAAGCAATAATAAACCTACTTGAACCTCGCATTGTCAATTTCAGACAAAGCGGCCCGACGTTTATGAGCAAGGGAGTAATTTTGATTATCCTCTTTAACAGGAATTTCGGACGATGCACGGTCAGACATCGTTAAAAAAAGGACAGAAGGGGGGGAGTAGGGGCAGGGCAGAAATGCACAAAAAAATTAAGGAGAGCTTGATGATTTTTATATTCAGAAAAGATTGATAAACAAGTTCATAGCACTATCGGATCGCTTCTGACGTAAGCCAGTGTTGCCTGACTGCGGTGAACCAATGAGACTGCAGGTGTACGAACGTGCTCTTTCAGACGCCTACCCTTCGAGGGAACTAACCCGAACGTTGGCCTGAGTCCTATTATTTTACGGTCATTTTATACCGTATCTCTAATATTTATATATTTATGAGAAAACAAGGTACTGATTTATCTTTTCATTTTTTTTTTTAAAAAAAAGAATTAAGAACAAAATTAAGCCACAAAAGAGAGGACTAATTAATAATAATAATTCCACCAGAGATCATAACGCCAGAACTTGAGAAGTCTATTATGTATCTGTCAGTTCATTACAATTAGTGGGAATTTGAAGCGCCCCTTGCTTGGTTACGTCTAAACCCGCCACATGAACAGGCAGTTAACTTTTTCCCTTTTCGTTGTTTAATATCTTTTGCATTCGATATCTACTTCGTCCGCACCCATTCAACCTTCTTAAAGGTGATTGATTTTCTCTCTTCATGTACAGTTTATTACCCTCACGACCAAGTATCGACTAGAAGCATGCATATGATTAGCGACTATTTTTATAATTCATCATTTGATATGATTTACCGTTGGTTCAAGTTTTCTTGACTATATCTCCCCCTCAATTGATGAACGTTCCAGTCCACCCATGGAAAATGCTGTTCCTTATGGGGGTACCGCAGTAGACTATGGCACCGAAAGCCACCGCGCTGTCTATTATAGTCTAAATATCTCCTTCCTTCGGAAATAACAAAACATATCGGGGTGCCCGTCTATCCAGAAGCCTTAATTAATCAAATCTTCACTGCACCTCAAGGTTCATCGCCAAGCTGTATTTTCGCTTGGATACTTAGTCAATACCAAGTTAGTTATGAAGATTGACATCCGAGTTGACGCCCGAATTAGTTATAATTTACTCAGTATGTACAGCTTGTTTATTCCATTGTTGTTGTTGTTTACCTCCAAGATGTCAGATTCATATTATTATAAAACACCCCTTCCGGTGCTCAATGTTGGAAGGGTGAAATCAAGTTTAAACTGGTCTTGATTTAATCAGCACTGGCCGTTCGCGTGTTCATCCGCTAAAACAGCAGATTAGATCATGTTACGTAACTATCTAATCTTTTTTTACCACGTCCGAACATTTTATTAAATGTTTTGGCTCGAGCTAATGGATCCGAGAAAGCTCCTGATCCGAATTTTTAAGGAACCGCCGAGCACACAAATGTGTCAGATTTTTTAATACTTCCTTTGCTTGATTCTGTCGGGCGGCTGGTTTGGATCTGGAAAAAAAAAAAAATTTCGGCATTATTATTGAAGCCATGTGATCGGAGGGCTGGACGTTCCGGAAAAGGTGGACTGCGTAAGGTGAGGTCTGAAGCACGTTCCTCAGAAAAAAAATTTGTTCTTAGCTTTTCTACCCTTGATAGATGAAAAAAACCTGTTTAAAGTAGTATCATATGATAATCTTACTTTTGGTTTTAGGTGTCTTTATATCTCCGTAACATCAATCCAGGGCTAAAATTGCTGTATCGTCTAATCAATCAGACCTACTGTCGATCGTCTCAAAAATTACAAAAGGGTTTCATTTAAATTGAAATGTTGTTACCCTTGGTGGAATTTCGGACTTACCAAGTTCGTTTTAAGGAAATCTAAGCAAAACTGTTTGTGGCAGGTTTCGAACCTGCGACCTCTTGTGTGTAAGACAAGCGATCTAACCACTGATCTACACAAACCTTCGTTCTGACATCAGGATGTATAAACATAATCGAAAGACAGGGTCAAGGCGTATCCACACCAGTGTACTATACATACAAAACGTAGCCGAAAGAAAATTTTTGTAACATATGTATACATAAACCGATGCTGTCCATACACCACACATCACATCAGACCGTTGCCAATAGGGCATCTTCGACCTCTCTCATTCTCGCAGCCTCCTTTTCCTTCTCCATCTCAATTTCACGCTCTCGGGCTCTAACGGCTTCAGTCTCACGTTTCACGACATATGAAGGCCTTTGATATGGCTTATAATCCAGATGTCGTTTGACGTAAAAACACATATAAGCCATCGAATTTAAGCATTCTTGTAGTGTAGAGGAATAAACCCTTGAAAATCGAAAGAGAGAGAGAGAGAGAGAAAATTGATTAGAAAGAGAATGTACACATCCCTGAAATGCGGGGTAAAAAAAGAACGTACTTATCATCGTCGAATCGGTACCACTGCCCACCAAACGTATTTTTAGTTCAAAAAGATGCTATAAAAAAACACACACACACCTCATCGCAATACCGGGCAAAATTGGTATAATGTCCATTATTTATCTGTCCATCATGATTTATTACGGCAAACAAATCATAATCATACATCGCAGGTGGTCCAATATCACCGCTGTGATCGTCCGCAGTTTGAATTACATAGCATAAAAACGGGTAGAATGGCCTACCTTGTTTCACTCTCTCCATTATCGTCCCTGGAAGCAGCAGCTGTGGTATACTCCAACATATTCAAGACCGAAGGAAACCGAATTGGAATATCAATCTTGCGGGCCGCAGACTTATCGGTGGAGTTATGTTCAAAGCGCTAAGTCCAATTTTCAGCTAGAGAATATTAGACGGGTCGTGGAAAATAGAGGACTCACCTTCAACTGAAAACACAATACGGGAGGTAATTTACGGATACTTAAACGTTTAGTCGCTTCCTGTCAAAAACCTGTCAGTCAAGCACCAGTTACCAAATACTACTGACATGAGAATCCGTCCCGCATTTACTACAACTATATTCTTTCAAAGCCAATTTTTCAGGATGCGTGTACCTAATCAAAGTTCAGATTTATTTTTTAGAAAAAAAAATTGGCCCACGAGTACCTTCGGAGACAAGCTGCCAAAGTTTTCTGACCAGGTTCAATTCCTTTCCCTTTCAATTCTATGCTTATATCTGATAATGGATCTATAGTAGTCGTTATGTTTCCACATCTCCCGCATTTGACGTCACTTTGCAATTGACCCGAAAATGTTGAATGAATTATGCAGTTACACGAAACGTTGGTTGATCCTCGAGTATTGGTATGAATTTGATTTAGAACTGAAATAAAGCACTCGTGTGCATCTTGTTGAGCATAACCCGCTAGCTCAGAAGAGGCTTTCCATGTCGATGCTAAGAGAGATGTGGGACCATAGGGCGCTGTATTAGAGGAATAAACCTAAAAACATTCATTGTTTAGGTTTAGTTTTGTGTGTGGATAGGGAAAAAGATTAATACCTCTGTAAATAATTTATCCATTTCGCAGCAAACGCAGTCTTTAAATTTGCAAAGTCTATGGTTGTGTGCATCGCTCAAAAAATAATTCCTCAGAAGGGGATTGTGTATTAACGCCTGTAGGACAACATTGAGGTAACATGTCTGGCCGAGATTCAAAAGACCCCTGCGACCTAGCCAAATAAAACATAAAGACCATTTAGAAGTTAACTTTGAAGGTGATTACCATAACATGGAACGGGTTCTGTGTTTTCCAACAAAGTAATAGCCTCCGCATTAGGTATCCAAGGCATATAATGCTCGCGAAGTCTTTTACCAACTAAGGAGAGATTTAGACTTCCGAGGACGTGAAAAATGAAGGGGATAACGACCTTGATATCGGGTATTTTTTTCTTCTATTGTCAACATTGCTTTGGTGTAAGCATTTTCGAGTGAAGAATGATATACAAAGTCATCGCAAACGAAACAAAATACGGAACCCGAGGATGAATCCATACCTAATAGTAATAAATATGTGTGCACAAAAAATAAAACAAACAGCTCACGCACAAAACATATGGTTTTCCTCAGTTAAATGCTGAAGCACGTGACCATCTCTCCAACATCCAGAAAATGAACATTGCAAGCATACAAACGGCCGATGAAGAGAAAGAGAACAAATACCACATTGGGGTGCTTGCAGCTTTGGGAAATCGCATTATAAGTGTTTGGCAAGAACAATGATTCAAACAAACTCGTCGGCAGCGTACCTTCCGTCGCTTAGAGGAGGAGATGCGCTGGTAAATTCTGCCATATTTCCACGAAACAATGGCTTTTATAATTCCAACAGCACCCAAGTCGCGTCCCAGTATCTGTTCCACATGTGGACATTGCGATGGCCCAGCTGAATTATTAGAGCTAGAATCGGCTTGTTCCTGTAGGGTAATCGACGGCGGCCGGCTTGATTCTGAACGAATTGTCTTCACTGAACCCGGACTCTGGCTGTTATGTTGTTGCGGAATGTTGGGAGTCGGAAGCATGAAACGGAATAGTCGCACCGGAATAATAAATATAATGGAGCGACAACGTTTTAACTACCGTGACCTTGGGTGGGCTGAAAGCTTGTAGACACTTATGGACGTTATGATACTATTTTTCAAACACCGAACAAACTCAGCTACGTACTCTTCATGTCGCAACTCGATGACGACCTTTATGGCGGTAAAGACATTATTTATTCTTTTTTCCTATGTATTTTACGTTTTTTAATAAGTTAATTTATAGATCTTTATGGCGCCGAAGATGAATTTGCTGTTCCTTTAGAGCCAGAGCCATTCACTCAAACAGAGGAAGTGAAAATTTCTGCAAAAGAAGAACCTCTCAAACCTGTTCCTCAACAAACGACACAGACAAAAGCCGCGACTCCAACACCAGAAACCAAGTATACAACACCACCTGCTCCATCTACTCAATCTGTTTCTGCTGCTCCAACGGCTTCAACAGCCACCGCAGCGTCGGCGAATGTCTCTGCCCCGGCTCCAGCTCCTATCCCAACCCATATAGCTTCACCAACTTCTTATTCTGAATCTACAAATAGGGCTATACCTCCGGTTTCAAATGGATCAGCTTATTCTACTCAAATTGCTCAGCAATACTCAACACAAGCATATGAGCATAATAACTCCGGATTGGATCATCAGGATTATAATCAGTACATGCAAAGAAATGAGATCCAACAAGTTGACACTACTGGAGAACGTTCTCGTATCAATGTCTTGGATCGTAGCGTCCGTCCTTCCGAAATGAAAGACGAAGGGTGAGTTTGTTTATCCATTTCTTTACTAAAAGATCTTGTGTGTTTCTTTTGACGAAGGGTGGATAAAAAATATTGAATGGGGTGGTGGCAAAAAAAAAAAAGAGCTTTTGGGATCATAGGCATGCATTACGCATTGCGCTCGTCTATTTGGTTTTACTGCCTGCTTTCATTTCTGCACACGGTAGTTTATCCGTTATTCTCGTCGCCTAGCCTAGCCTAGCCCCTAGCCCCCTTCATAGCTCAAGTTCCGTAGCCAAAGCTGGACTAGAACTATCCTATAACCCCCAGACAGAGACAGACAAGTTTCCATTCGTTTTCTTTACCATTATTTCTCACGTATCTATACCCTGGTACTAATAACATTTTTTTCATCTGTCTCCGTCACGTCATCTATCTACGTTATCATCTTCATCATCATGCATCCAAAATTATCCTATGAAAAAACGACTTCTTTGACCAATTGATTAGGAAAATGTTCGTTGGCGGTCTAAATTGGGACACAACAGATGGTACATAGCTTATTATTCGCTAAATAGTTCTTAGCGCTCATAGTATCTTTAGAAACTTTAAGGAATTACTTTTCGGAATTTGGCAAAGTAGATGCCTGTACAATAATGCGGGATGCAAGTGGTCGCTCGAGAGGTTTTGCTTTCTTAACATTTGAGGATCCTGCTGCCGTCAATGCTGTTATGGTTCGTGAACATTACCTTGATGGGAAGATTGTACGTTGGTTTCCTTTTTTTTTTAACTATGTTTATTAACTCATTTTGAATTTTTACATATCGAATCTAGATTGACCCCAAGCGAGCAATTCCTCGACAAGAGCATAATCGTACTCAAAAAGTATTTGTTGGTGGTCTAGCACCTTCAGTGACGAATGAATCCATGCGGCAGTTCTTTAGCCAATTTGGAAGAGTTATAGACGCTACTGTTATGATTGATCGTGATTCAAGTAGAAGTAAAGGATTCGGATTTGTCACTTTCGATGAAAAAGCAGATGTCGATGGTTTAATCGGCATGGGTGGTCTTGATATTGAGGGCAAAGTTGTAAGCGATATTAAAAAATACTTGTTTATTTATTTGAATAGAGAGATAAATAATTTTTTTCTGTATCGATAGGTTGAAGTTAAACTTGCTCAGCCGAGAGGAGCACAAATTGCTGGTCAAAATTTCTATCGTGAGGGATCTCAAGGACAAGGAGGGGGAGGAGGTCAAGCAATGAGTGGGGGAGCTGGAGGAGGTGCAGGCGGCGGTACGTTCGGCCAGCAAGTTAACACAGGAACAGTTGCTGGTAGTCAGACTCCATTCGATCCTCAAGCTCTTGCTCAACTCTACCAACGTATGTTACATCAATTTGGTGGGAATTTTGGCGGGGCGATGAACCCAATGATGGGAGGTGGTATGGGAATGAATGCCATGATGGGTGGAGGCGGAAATATGAATATGGGCGCAATGGGAATGGGAGGAGCGTTCGGGCGTGGAATGGGAGGAACAGGGATGATGATGGGAGGAGGAGGAGCGGGAATGGGTGGAATGGGTCGAGGAGGTAATGGAGGAATGAATCCTAACGTTCCTCGTGGACCTCGTGGTGGTACCGGTCCTCCAACTGGCCCAAGTGTCGGGCCTCAGCGTTCAGCCGGAGGTCAGCATCGTTTCCATCCTTACGGTCGGTAAGATAAAGG